TGGCTACTGTGTCGAGCTCATTGCCTGCTTTGCGCAAGAGGTGTGGCGGCAGTAGGCATTCCGGCATATTCCACACCCTCACTGCAACATTAGTCTTTGTGGGGACCTTATAATGCTGTGTATTGCGCAAGAACTACGCTTATACGCCGTGTCTTCTTCGTCTCTGTGGGCAGCGGATCAGTCACGTCGAGCAACGATAGCACCCGTGCCATATTCGCTGTCAGATCCGACTCGAACGCAGTAGCCATCGTGGCGCGGCGAGAGGGGCGTGACTGTGCACAGCCGGCACTGCTGCCCCTGCTGGTACTCCGCTGGGAGGAACCGCACGGCCCCCTTTGCCTCAGCCCAGCAGCTGCGTTAGTCGGCGCTGAGGCGTTCAACTCACGCTTGATAGGTGCTGATGGGGTGGAAAGATTAGTGTTTGTCGCTTTCTGGAGCTCGGGAAGCGCTCCACACACCGCACATTCATTCTCATTCATCATCATTGTTTTTGCTAACTCCTGGCAGGGCGCACAGACTGAAAACCGACAGCACGGCAGCACCGTCTCTTTAAAGCACTTGAGCTCACAAACAACACACAACCCTTTAGTTGGTGTTGGTATGCGCGACGAGGCCGTGGGGTTGCGCCGTAATAGCGAGGGAAGCAGTGGGAACGCCTTGTTTGAGAGTGCGGTTATGCGTCTAAATGCGAGCGCGTCCCCTTCACTGCCATCCTCGCATCTTTCGCGCTTAGCAGGACCAGTTGGCATCAACTGTGGGGACCACGTCTCCTCGTGGCCCTGCAGTATGCCCTCCACCTGCTGCAAGCGACCGTCGCACGCCTTTTCCCCCCCCTGCGCAGCATCCGCTACACCGTCCATGTAGTGTCGCCGCGAGACGTTGACAACGACTCTGTCGTACGTCCGCAGGAAGCTGTTGAGCGGTATTAGGTCTTTGTCAGCGTTGGCAGGCGCTGCCTGAACCTCCTGACGCTCTGTGCCGAGCGGCACCAAACGGCGGACATCCAGCTTGTACTTTGTGAGGTTGATCTGGTGTTGTTTTACGATGTCCTGCACGATGGTGGCAACCTGCACTGTATCACCGGCAAATCCGTAGCTGTGGTATCGGCCCGACGCTGCGGGATGCGAGCCGAGCAGCCTGTACTGCACCACTCCCTCCGTTTCCATGCTGCTCAGTCCAAACGCTGCGTACGTATACTAGCGGTGTGCGTATGCGTATGCGTATGTGCCTGTGGTGTGAGAGGGGAAATAGTGGCAGGAGAGAAGGGAATAAAGTAGAGGAAATTAAACAAAACACGCCTTTGGACTGTTTTGTGTGTGTGTGTGTGTGTGTGTGTGTGTGTGTGTGTGTGTGGAACCGGGGCCAGTGTTATAAGAGGTACAACACATACACCAGGCGAGGACGCCATTCAAACTACGGACGGACGAACAAGCGTTTTGCCTCGTGTTTTGCAAAGTAGGCCACAACAACAAAAAAAAAACGTACTGCGCTAATAAAATGGCGCAATAGCACGAAGTAAAAGGACATGTGTACATACGACGGGCGTTGTATGCGCGTAACCGCCACATCTACTTGTTCTCTCTCCCTCTCTCAATCCCCGCATACCGTCGCTATGATGCCACACTTCACGCTGCTGGCAACGCTTGGGTTCATCTTCTTCGAGCCCCCCGCGACGTAGACAGTACAGCCGTCAACTGTGTAGTAGCGGTCCAGCTCGGCGTGCTCGTCTAATTTTTTTCGGAGAGTCTTTATAGTCTCCTCCTCGTCAGCGCCAGCGTAGCCCAGTGTGGCAAGCGCAGAGACACCATCAAACTGATTCTTGGGCTTCGTCACGCGCGGCCGGTTCGACGGCACGGTGAGGCGCCTGCTGCCAAAGCGTTGCTGCCGCAGACGCTGCCGCTCCTCCTGTGCCTCCGGGTTGGACCAGTCGACTGAGCAGAGGAAGTTGGAGCGGTCCACTTCGCCGTACACCTCCTCGTCTGGTGGCACGTAGTCTGTCTTCATGACGGATACGGGGAGGAAGCGTGACTGTGCGCCGGTGAAGACTTCGCGAAAACTCTCTTTGTCGCGCCGCGACGCCACGTGCATGATCCAGACACGGGCTAGCTTCCTGCCAAGATCCGACAGCACGATCCCGTAGTTTTTCATCATCACCTTGACCTCACATTGGGCGACCTGACGCGTGTACAGCGCGCAGTACACCGGCTCCTCCTTGTCTGGATCTTGCGCGTATATCTCCTGGCAGATGCGGCGGAAGGTGTTGCGCTGTTTTCCTGTTGCCGTCTTGTTGTACCAGTACTCCACCTGCTCGCGGTACTCTGGTGCAAATATCGGGTAGTACTCCTCATGCATTAGGTGCCATTTGCACGAGGGCTTGTTTGGAATAGGCACCAGCTTCCTGTAACGTGTATTCATCTTGTTGCAGCTGCGTCCCTCCGGGCAGCGTTTATTCTGTCTCGTGTGCTCTTGGGCCTCCTCCTTTCTCCTTTTCTCCCACACAAGGAAGAATAACGAGGTGAGAATGAAGAGTAGGAAGTCATTCAAAGCAAAAAAAAAAGGAATAGCAGCAGCAGAAGCAGCAGCAAGCGAGGAGAGCACATCAAAAAAGAGCAAACCGCCATTCCACGACGGCAGTGGGACGAATCCTCCGATCCTCGCGTCATGCCAAGAAGAGACCACGCACTTCCCAGCAGCACGGTCTGCAGCGTACAAACACACAGAGACACATGTAGTCACTTCTATCGATAGGTGGGAAGTTGCTCCGATTCCCTTGCGACCTGATTCTGTGCCTCTCGCGTCAGTTCGTCTAACTCAGTTGAAATGCCCTCACTCGTCAGCGGTACATGAACAAGTGAAGAGCTGTTGACACTCACAAATCCCTTAAACGTATTCATCCAAACTTCCAATACTGTCGGGTTGCATGTGAGGAGGTCCACGCTCCTTGCGGTACGCTGGCTGCGATCACAAAACCACAGCGAAAACGCACCGTTTGTTGGCAGGCGCGCGCGTTGGCTGTTCACCCGCGGGCCCTTAATTGTCTGCGGCGTCGTCATGTGTGGGCGAAACGATGCGGATCGCACGTTCACTGTGATTCCCACGAGCTGCTCCAGTGGCACAAAGCCCACCACCTGCACCCCTGTGCGGTGCATCGTCCACGCCAGGCACGGGACCCTCTCCGCCGTGCGCGACGTCAAATCACGCGGGATCATGCGAATGGTGAAGAAACGCTCCTTTGGCGACGAATTGGCCTGGTAGCGGACAAAGTACGACCCGCGGCAGCAGAGGTCGATGTAGTGCAGGAAGGCCTCCGACATGTGGTAGTCAGCGAGAGCTATGTGCCGCGGCAGGAACATACCGCGACTACGCAGGAGGCTCAGCACAATGACGTGGCGCGGGTGCCGCGCCCATGCGAAGGCCTGCGGCGACGACGACGGCGACGCGCACAACACATCCACAGGCACAACGGGCTCCGCGTCGATGTCAAAAAGCGTCGACTCCGCATCCGACGAGCTCGTCTCCCCAGAGCAAGTCGTGGAAGAGGAGGAGATGTTATCCAGCGACGACTCGGGCGGCTCGCTGAGGGCATACTGCTCCGCGTCGCGGCGTAAGACGCGACGCACCATCGCTGGTGCGGAGGTGCTCCGGCCTCTTTCGCGCGAAAAACCACGCATTCCTGTACGCGCATCCACATAAGTGGCAAGGGGAGCACTGTAGGTTTTGTTCTTGTTATTTCTGCTATTGCTGGTGCTGTTGTTGTTGCTGCTGTATCCCTTGACAATGTTGCTGTTGTAGGGGGCCTCAGGTCTCGGCATGCCTGCGCCTTCGTTTGCCTTGTGTAAGTTCGTGCCAAAGAACGTGCTGTTGTTGCGCGACTGTGGGGATCCCTGGTCATAGCCACCATAGTCGTAGCTGGTAGTGCCCCTTCCACTGTTTGCACCGCTTGAGTTGGCGTTGTGGCGTCGAGTCCCATCGACAGCGGCAGCGGCGGCTGGAGCTCTGCCCTCGTAGCTGCGGTAGTCCGAGCTGGAGGGGTCCTGGTAGGACTCGCTGCTCCTGTTGATACTTAACTTCGGCACAAAGGCTGAGGATACTCCCTCTTCGTCACCACGCCTCATACTGTTGCTTGCGTCGCACCCCCAATCGATCTACCCTACGCCATAATGAAAGGACGAAAAGAAAAGAAGGAAAAACACCTCAAGACCACAGAAGACGAATGCAACATTTAATTTAGAAGTAGGCAGCAAACAAGAGGAAAAAAAAAAAGGAAGCAGGCACCCATCTCAGAAAATATATGGAAAACAATGAGCAAAATGCAGTGGCTCTTACCGGGCGTCATTGTCCCTTTCTTCCTCTGTCAGTGTGATAGTAGCAGGTTCACTAACTTCCTTTTCCGCTTCGTTTTGTTCTTCCTTTACGTATAGCAGGTACAACTCTTCCAGGCTTTGCCGCATGCTGGGCACCGCCCCACCGCACACCAGCAGTTGCTGTCGAAGTGTGTGCATCATCCTTTCTGTCATTTCTGCAGTTGACACCGAGTCGTCCTCGCACCACGCGTTGCATGCAGCGAACCACTCCACCCACCATTGCGGCATTGTGGGAGGGAAGTAGCGGTCGGGCAGCAGCGTCGGCAGGAACTCCTCTTCAATGCGCCGCACAATCCACGCACGCCGCGTATTGCGCCGCTCCACGGCATCGTGAGAGCAGCCGCTGTGGTGTTTCTTGTGCGCTCCAACTCTTTGCCGGCCGCGGCCCGTATCCACCTCCCGCCGATACTGTCGTTCGACGACTTCGTAGATGTCTGAAATCTTGTCCGCGAATTTATGCCGGCATGACGAATACGACCGGCACTTTCGCGTAGACGTTTTTTGCTCACTCGGCGATGACGCCCTTTTCGGCGTGGCATCGCTCATCCCTCCCTCGAAGCACTGCGCATCGATCACTTCTTTTGTGCGGGAGTCCGCTGCCGTCTGGCAGCCCCCCGCCGGCCCCTTCTCCATGGAAGAGGAGAAGGAGGAAAAGGAGCAGGAGGCTGTCGACTTGCTGCTGCAAGACGAGTCGCATGCCCGACTGTGCGAAGACGACCGTGACGATGACAGACTCGACGCACACTGATCCCGGATGTAGTCATCCAGAAGATAGCCGATCGTGTGCACCACCCCCATCAGGTCATCCTTCTGCCCCAGCGGTTTCCCTAAAAACCCGCGTAGACTGTGCCACCAACCGCTGTAGGGCTCCTCGTACGACGAGGACGGCGTTGACGGTGAGTCCCCGGTGATGACAGTTCCACGTCCAAAATCAATGATCTTGAACATGTAGCCAGACGTACCTTCGACAGGGCGTCTTTCACCGTCATGGTGCTGATGAGGCGTAGTACGGTCCCAAGTCCCGCCAAGCACCTCTGGATTCCAGCAGAAGTTCTCCGGTTTGACACTGCGGTGAACTGTGCCCAACTCGTGGACGACGGCTAGCGTTCGTATGAGCTCCATCCCCACAACACACAACTCCTCCTCACGCAGCACATGTCTCTCCGTGAAGGCGAACAAGTCCGCGCCAAGGCGTTCCAACCCAAGTGCGGCATCTTGTCCCACTTGCCTAGCAAAAAGAAGTCTTGGGAAAGGACGCGGAAAAATACAAGTAGGCTTTAATAGTTGTCCAAAGCACCCTTCACCATTCACCAAGGATTCTCTGGTGTTGCTTCGCGCCTCTTCCTCCAACTGGTCGTAGCACTTGTTCAAGTGCTCCAAACACTCCTTCTCACGCTGCAGGTGCCGCGACGATGAAGGCATGCATTTCACGGCAATCAATTTGCCTTGATTAGTCGCCGCACTTCCCGCATCAGCCTCGTCGCATCCAGCATCCTTTCGCTCTCGGGACTCGGCTGGTGCTCCATCCTGCACGTTCAGCTGTAACTGCGTCTGCAGTTGTTGCTGTTGTTTTTGCGGTGGTGGTGTTGGTGGTGGTTGTAGTTGCTCTGCGCGAGCGGCCGCCTCATTCTCCTCGCCATGGGAAAAATCCTCGTCAGTAACTCTCTCCGCAACATACACGGTGGCGTTGTTGCCTCTCCCAATGAGTTGCCTTATACGGGTGCCACGCGGCAGAGCGGTGGGGAAAACAGGCGACATGGACCGCGATGACGATGACGCTGATGATGAGTAGGCTCTGGTGCCAGAACTGTCCCTCACAGAGGAGCCAGTGAGCAACGCCCCGTCGCCCTCTATGCTGCAATGCTCGAATGACGCTGCCGCCAGTTGTTCGTTCGCCTCAGTTTGGAGGCCCCCATGCTCACACCGTGGGCGTTTTGCGCCTGGGCCCACTCTGCGGGACCCGTGACGTTTGCACGTGTGTGCCTGCATTCCACTAGGTGCCTCTTGACGTATTGTTTTCGTACCCTACAGATACAAGGGAGAGAACTGCCATAGAAGAGCAGTGCGCGTAAGGGATCCACGTCCATGTGGCCCAGCTGCTATTCAGCCCACATTATTGTTTTTTGTTATTATTGTTGTTTTTGTTGCTGTTTTTTGCCTCCAAGGGAAGAAAAGAAATCCGGGCAAGAGCGATAATATAAATACACACACGTGTGTCCTCCTAGCCACACGTGGTTGAGGAAATCAAACAAAAAAAATTGGAAACGAACGACTTGTCGGTGGCACGGTTTCCCTTTTGTGGAAAGGGTAAAAGGGAAGCTCCATCACAGACTATGCTTTTTTTTGTTTGGGGGGGGAGGGTTGTTTTTGTTTGCTTCCTTCGTCCTTACTGTGCAGAAGGCATGCGCTTCGTCGGCAGCGTTGAACGGGCGGCTGGGAGCGTCCGTACTGCCGCGCTGGCATGGCCGCTCTCGCTGTCGGATGGTCGCTGGGAAACACAACGCACGCAGCGGCGCAAAGAGTGCAAGCGTACAACCCGATCTTGACCACGTCCCCGCCACGCGGACAGAGGCTCGCAGCTGCTTCTCGTGCTGAGGTCTATGTGGATTCTAGGCACGCAGCCATATCCTGGTGACCCACTTCGCAATAAGAACAGCCCGCCCATGTGACAGCACCAAGCCATCATTCCACAATGCAATGAAAATGGCGGTGTTTTCTTCTTTTTTTTGTCTTATTAACAAAAGGCTTTGCCAAGCCGCAGCCTCATCGATGGTAGCACCCATAGTGCTGCTGCTGCTGCTGTAACGCTGTTCTCACAACCGACCGTTGGCACCACTCCCCAAGTGCTTCCTGCTTGTGTCACTTACGCGTGACAGAGACGAAAGTGGAGCATGCAGCATCCCTCACGTATAATGAGAGAGTTGTCTCCTTCGGATGTATTCCCACAACTTCACTGTAGTTTCAGCACCCCCCCCCCTTCAAAGTAGCTGTAAAGAAGTAATACCATTCATCCTCCATGTAAGTCTCCTTGAATCGCAGGTTTAAAGAAACAAAAGGCTGCGAATGCGCCGTCACAACGCCGACGGCGCCTCTGTGGCACAGTCAAGTTCCCGCTTCGAGTCGGCCCGGCACACACTGCGTGTTACCACGTGTCCCCCTTCATGCATGGGAAGGCGGGCGCAACTCAAAGGGATGCTAGGAGAGCCGTGGTGTAGAACGACGACAAGGGTGAGGCCATGCAGCCCGTGCCCTTACCCCCAGTAATGGGCCGTCTCACAGCTCGCTATCCATCGTGTTGTCCTCTTACTGGCGATGGTGTAGAAGAAAAAGAGAAAAGGACAAACGTTGATGCAAAAACAACTAAATACAAAAGGGATAGTAGGCAAGCAGAAAGGAATCAAGTGGTGGGCGCAGTGCTCCGGTGATGTTCTGAAAGACATGTCTGAACCTAGGTATGGTGCACACCATAGAGAATGATACATTTCGTGGGACCCACTCTCGTCTGTCACCGCTCCTCATTCTCAGTGCAACGCATGAGACGCGCTTGGGCCTGGAGCCTTCTCTGCATGTACATAAAGATGGGGCACCTGGTGTATATTTGCAGTTGGAGTTTCTGCGTTCGGGTGTTGTTGATGCAGCTGTCTTTTTGTATTGTCTTGTTTTTGTTCCTCTTGTCATTCTCACTCTATGCAGAGTGATCTTCTTTCGGTGGAAGGGCGTCTTTGAGAACATCGACCGCCAGAGCAGCAGGGGCTTCCCGCTTCAAGTTGTCCGGGCGAAGGCGCACCATGTCCACCACTGTTGGCAGCACAAAGCTGTCGAGCATGTCGCATACCACGTTCTCCGTCCCGTCGGGGGTGCTGAGGTTGAAGGAGGGGCGGGGAATGCTCTCCAGGCGGCTGCACTCTGCGCCAATCGCCTCCTCCATCGCACACTCCTCCGCTGCAGTGGTGTAAAGCTGGTGCGCGTAGCACTCCACCACGTCGTCAATAGCGCGAGTGTAGGCAGCGTATTGAACCGCTTCCTTGTCGTGCAGGATGCGTTCCTGTGCGCGGAGCTCCGCCTCCTTTGCCTCACGTTCTGCACGTACCGCCTCCGCCTCAGAGCGGAGATCCTCCAACGCACTGAGGTCTTGCCGCCGCGTCAGTTCATGGAAGAGGTAGTCTAATGTATCCACAATGATGTCTCCCTGTGCCACATCTGCCACGCTGTCGGCGATGCCCTCGCGTCGCTTGGCCTCCGCATCCTCTTTCTTCTTCTCCGGGCTGCGTTCCGCGTACTTGGCGTTCGAGGCCGCCTGCAGCTCCTCAATAAGACCACGACACCGCTCCTTGCCATCAAAGAAGTCGTTCTGTACCGCGCGACCACGCAGCAGACGCTGGAGAAGGATGCAAGCCTCCTCCACCTCCTCTTCCGCGTCACCCTCCAACTCCAACTCGGGTGTGTCGGGGCGCTGCAGGCGTGGAGTGGCACGGTAGAGCTCTAGCACACGGAACGCCTCAGCAGGGGCATCATCCTTCTGAATCTTCGCATTGACATACTCGAGTGCGTCCACCACACGTGTTGCCTCGCGCCGCTGGTAGAGCGTTGGCAGAGAGTTAATGGCGTGGTTCTCCGGCGCCACAAAGACATTCTGTGGGAGCTGCAGTATGCGTGGCACCTTGGCGCCTTCCAGCTCCTTGACGCCCTCCGGTAACGTGAGCATTGTCGGGCGCACATCATAGTGGCGGAAGTGTTCAGCCGGTTTCATTGGCGCAGGTGGCCTGGAGCCGCTGACTGGGACATGCGGCGTGGAGGCGGCAGCGCCGTACTTGGAGTAGTTTTCTATTAGATCCTTCTTTTGTTTGTGTGTCTCGATCGGATCCACGGCATGCATCCCGCGTGTGGCAGACGGCGTCGTCGCGGATGCCCCCTTCTCCATTGACTTTTGCTCAGTTGCGATGCGCTTCACCTCTGTCCGCTCAATCACCCGCCGCAAATCAGCGAGCCTCTGCGCCTTGACAACCTCCAGCCGACAGCGGTTGGCCTCCTCACGTGCGCGATCGCGCTCCATCAGGGCGTCGCGGATTCCATTGAGGCGGCGCTGGCGTATCTTCTCCATATGCTCCTCGCGCTCCTTCCGCTCCTGCTCCTCCAACTCGTAGAGGGCGCGGAATCGCACCTCCGCCGTTTTGGCGTCCGTCTCTTGCGGGAGCGAGGCCTCCAGTGCGCGTCGACGCCGCAGTCGCTGAATGAGCTCCACCTCCTCCGTGCCGGCCGGCAGCCCGTCATTCCACTTCAAGTCACGCAGGCCAAGCACCTCCGGGTTGGGGTCGCCGCCCTCCGGAATGTAGAAGTCGGGTGTGTACGGCAACGTCTGTGCCTCGTTCTCGCGAAATACCGTTTGGATACCCGCGTCGCGCCCCTGTCCCGCACTACCCTCCGAAGTGATTGTTGTTTTTGTTGTTGGTGTCACAGGCTTTTGCGGTGCTTTGTCCATGCCACGTTTCCGCATCGCCGGCAGCCGGTATGGCCGCGCCTCTCCGCTCTTCCCAGCCGCAGAGGCGGTGCGGCTGGGGAACGACGCGGCAGCGAATTGCCCGACTGTCGGCAGCGGCGTTGCGGGCGCGCTGGAGGCGAAGCGGACGTTGTCAATATCGGCATACGCCGTCGGGATGCTGCGCGCCTCGACCGGACGGCGGAAGTAACGCACGCGGTCGCGGCCCGCCACTTCCGTTGTGAAGCCGTGCGCGCCGAGTACCGACGCGGGCTGCTGCTGCTGCCTGTAGCACATGCTGGTCCGACTTTCTCAATAGCACACTCCCTTTACACCCAAATCCCTTGCTCCGAGGTGCCGCACAAAAGAGACACGGAAGGGAAAGGAATAGAAAGACGCTGAAACCAACCAAAAAAAAAAAGCAAACAAAGAAGACATGGACAAAGGAATGGCATTCAATCCAGGAACGCGTCCACAACCGAGTAGCCACGAACACCCCCACTCACACACATAGAGAGACGGAAATACGCACCCGCAAGGGCGCACACCACTGACGTACTGCAGACCCCTTCACGACTCGGCGGCATTCCAGCGAAAGATGGACTTCTTCACGCGCCTGTTCACGCCCGTCAAGTACGGCCGGAATGTGTAGAAGGTGTAGAGCATGAAGGGGAAGCGGAATATCTCCAGCATCTCGTTGATCACAAACGCAAAGCCAAAGTCAATACACGTACCCCACGCCTCCACACGCATGTAAAACCGCTCCCTGTCAATGTATCCCCCAAGGAAAAAGAACATAAACTCATACGCAGCTTCCTTCTTGAGCAACCCCGTTGAAAATCCAATATACAACGCACCAAGGCACGCCAAGTAGACGGCGATATACAGAACGGTAAAGCCAACGCCCTGTCGTTTGAAGAACTCAATCCCCTTTCGCCACCGCCGCACGTTGTAGTCCCGCATCCGGTCCATCTCGGCATCGAAGATGCGGTCCGTCTCCTCTGCGACGCGGACGAAGCGGTCCTTGCGCTGCTGCGAGTCCCGTCGGAGTTTGTCCTTGAGTGGGTTGACGGATGCCACCTGTGTGTCGGCCTCACTTATGTAGTCCTTCGTGCTCTTCGTAATCCACGGGGTCGCACCAGCGCGGTTCTTTTTGTTGATTCCACGCAGCGTGGCGGAGGTCTGCTCGTACTGCACGCACCGCACGGCAAAAAGAACAGCGCCCGCCGAGGAGCTGCTGCCCCGCACAACACGCCGCGTGAGAGGCAGACGAAGCGCCGCCGTGGCACACTGGAGTGACCCTCTGCGAGCCGCGAGACGCTGGATGCGAATCATGCTTGAGTTGCTGATTCTTTTGTTGTTGTTTGTTTGTCTGTTTGTTTGTTTTCGATTCTCCCTCACCTTTCTTATTGCCCGCTCTCTCTCTCTCTCTCTCTTACGCCAGTGCCGCTTTGTCTACCCTGGTTTAACTTACGCGTGCCCCAACGATACGACTCCGCAATGAAAAACGCGGCCGGGTGTTGTGGCTGCGCGCTGTCACTCCCCTGGCACTGCGGCAGCACCTCCTGCTGGAGTGATTGCCACGTTGACAGCAACAACAACAACAACAGCAGAAGCAGGAAAGAACGGGAAGAAGGTAGAGTCCAGCCCGTCGGGAGGGAAGAGAAAGGCGGAGGATTGAGTCAGCTCCAGCAGGGTCTTTCATCACAGCACACGAATCAGCATTTCTCACTCTCTCTCTCTCTCTCTCTCTCGCACTCTCCACCTCCACAAGGACATTGGCAACGACCGGAGAAATACGAATCGATGACTGCCACAACATCACCTTACCTCCCCCCCTCTCTTCGTGACGCAGTTCCGCCTAGAAGCGCCGCGGCGACGGCATGGCCTCGCCAACGGACTCCAACTCCGCGCCCTCCGCCGCCGCATCGTCAAATGACGGCAGTGCTGATGATGATGATGTTGTTGTTGCCGTTGCAGATTTCACCGTGTGCGGTTTGCCTTTAAAGAAGAGTGCGGTGGCGGCGGCGACCGACTCGGCCGTCAGGCTGGCGCGCAGCAGCTGCTCTACCTGCTCCTCCTCCTCCTCCTCCTCTGCAATGATGCTTGACACGTCTTCCTCATCGTCCTCACCGTCGCTGCTGGCATCGTTCTTGACATTGTTGCCACGGGGCTCGTCTGGCTTGTCCGCAGCCACATCATCACCGCCACCCACCACTTGGGCGGCAGCAGCGAGGTCATCGATGCGACTTGCCGCCGCCTCCCCCCCTCCACCACCTGGGTCATCCACAACAAGACCTCCCCCCTCAGAGTCGTTACTGCCGCGGCGGGCCTCCGTCAGACTGCAGGACACGTCAGCGGCGAGCGGCTCATCCAGGGCGGCGTTCATGACGCTCTCCAGACACAGGTCACGCGAAGCTTCTGCGATGCTGCTACTGGCGTCCTCCCCCTCTCCCCAGGCAAAGAAACTCCCGTCGACGGCGTGCGTGCTGCTCGTTAGGCGTGCTGCAGTGTCACCCACCACGTCACCGCCCTCTTCTTCCTCCATGAGACCAAACATGTCCTCGACATCGACTGGGGATTTGTCCTGCAGAGACGCAGGCCCGTTGCCCCACAGTGTTGTTGTGGCTGCTGTTGCTGCTGTTGTTGCTGTTGAGGTGGTGGTGGTGGTGGCGACACGGCAGTGGCTCCGGCGCACAATTGCTGTTCGTGCCGCAAAGGCGGAAAGTGCACGANATGTCCTCGACATCGACTGGGGATTTGTCCTGCAGAGACGCAGGCCCGTTGCCCCACAGTGTTGTTGTGGCTGCTGTTGCTGCTGTTGAGGTGGTGGTGGTGGTGGCGACACGGCAGTGGCTCCGGCGCACAATTGCTGTTCGTGCCGCAAAGGCGGAAAGTGCACGACGCAGCGCCATTTGTTTTTCTGCTTTGGAAAAACGCACCGCACCCAAGCCGGCGAGAGAGGCAGACAAACAACAAAAAAAAGGAGAAGGCGAACAGCAAAAAGAACAGTAAGGCTAATGACGAGCACGCACACGTTTTCCCCCGCTTTTTTAAACGATGTCTTGTCAACAGCAAATGACACCCATCCACGGACTTGTTCTCTTTGGAGGGACCCCACTCAACGCAGAAACAAACGATAGATCCTGAAGGCGTATACACACAAGCACACAGAGCATTTCTAAACTCCCATAAAAATAAAAATAAAAAACGCACACCAAAAAACCAATGGCCATGAAGACGGTGGATGCGAAGTTGCCCCCAACACACCATTCGTATCTTCACGCTTCAGCAGGCGACGCGGTGAGCACGCACCACCATCGTGCTGGAAAGAGCCGTTGCACGGCGGAGCCCCTCTGCGGAGATACCGTCCAGCTCAATCATGTTGTCAATGCCCCTCCGCCATGCAGCGCACAGCGCGTTACGCTTCGCCTCTTCGTCCCCCTCGAGTGCCCTTATCGCACGAGCTGCCCCTACTGATGCTGCTCTGGATGTTGTTTCTTCCTCTTCCGCGGGCTCCAGACCGTCGCCGCCGCTATTCATAGAAAGCGCCCTGTCCTCGATGTACGATATGGACGACACGGTGGAGGGCGTCGACCCCGTCTCGTATTCGACTTGCGTCGCCCCAGTCGACCCGCGTGACGGGGAGGAGAGCGACGACATGGCGTAGGAGTCGACGCCGGCGCCCCGGCGGCGCACACGACTCGCGCTATCGCCTTTCAGCGACCCCACGGCCGCATCGCCCACCTGCGCGCTAAGCTGCGCGAGCTGCAGGCTCTGCAAGAGCTGCACGTCGACGCGGTGGCCCACCTCGTCAAACTCCACCGCCTTGCGCTCGCTCTGCTCTACGAGAACCAACTCCTGTCGCTCCTTCATCCACTCCATCGCCCACAGCATGGGCGTGTACTTCGGTCGGGCCGCCTCCTCGAG